AGGTCATATCGGTTCGGGAATACCGCCGCCGGAAGATCATTACAAAGTTAGCAGAGCAGGCAGCAGCGGGGCAGAAAGTTTCGGGGGAATCGCACAGTTGTTGACTGCCAACCATCTATGTGATGGGAATGAAAATTTTTTCGCGTGGTGCGATGGCGAAAAGATGCGGCGGAGATCAACAATTCCTCAGAACACTCCCCGTGATAGATGCGATAGAGAATACATATAGCGAGGCTACATCCCTACGCAGTGCCAAAGAGTTAAAAAATTTCATATAATTAGTGTTTATGAAGTGTAGACATTACTTTTCTGATGCCATAAACTTATAGTATGAGTTATAAGTTTATAAGTCGCATTTTTAACGCATAAAAGAAGACATACGCAGACTACATTATCTTTCTGCCACTTAATTCCAGACTAAGGAAAAGAAATCTCAAAAAAAAACTTGAAAATGAAGAGGGAAGTACGGTGAAGTTTGATAAATTCAAACTTAAGGGTCGTGGCGTGATGTCGGCTTCATTCATCACTGGAATTCCGTACACGTTCCCGTCGCCTAAGTAACGATGTAGGGGCCTGCGTTTACTGAGCAAGGAACAAGGAGACTTGGTACATCTAACATAGGTACAAGCTAGGTTACAAGCGCTCAGCAAGTGATACATTAAAATGTGGCTAACTTCTTCATATTTGTCTCTTTTTCACTCGCGATTATTGAATCAAGCCATCTCACTTTAACATGTATCATACGATTTATTCATGTGTGCATAAGTGTGCCGTTTTTGAAAATCGAATGTTGTTTATGTAACCAATCAAGTATAATATGTGATATTTGGATGATGCAGAGATAACAGTAGGTGCAAGAAGCAAGCAAAATCGAGATATTACTTATTTATTTGCGCTTTTGTTTTCGCACTCACAGTCCTCGTCGCAAGGCAAACCTTTTTACTGAACACACACACAAAGGCATGCATACCTACATCTTTTTTTTAAATCTGCTTAGAATATAATACTTTGATTTGATTGCTTGATTTTTTTATGTTTACATTTCTTTTTTTTCATCTTATCTTGAATATTTGTTTATTATCATGAGCTTTTGTATCAATATTTATTTAAATAAAAGAATGAGCTAAGCTGCACTAACACAAGTATCTTATATAACGTAATGGGGATGTTTTATTTTACACCAGCTTTTACCCGCGACTCCGTTCGCGTGGAATAGTTACTTCCTGCATATTTTTTGTATAAAACTATCCTATGTCCTTTCTCGAGTTCCAAACTATATCTGTACCAAGTTTCATAAAAATCAGTTCCGTAGTTTAGTTTAGGCGTGAAGAAGAAGAAGACAGAGTTACTTTATAATATTAGTTTTAAAGTTTTAAGTTTTATAAGTTTTACATTTATTGTAATAATTTTGAGACACAATAAAACTTTTTTATTTTTGATTTATTTTATTTATTGAATGTTCAGTTTTCAGTGATTGGGTTAACTAAAAACGGCCTTAATCATGACTCATGACAATCTTTTGAGAAATAAAAGTAGTAAAAATTAAACCCTAAAATAGTAATTTAAATATTCACATACTGCAAAAGCACGAAGTTAAAGGTAAAATTCTCGAACATATCTGTACATTGTTATAAGTAGATTCATACATTGTTGAGATATGAGAAATTGATAAGCTCCATCCATACGTAGCGTTCACGAAAATACGTGTATAAATATGTAGCATCACAATACATATTGAAAGCCTTCAAATAGGTTGTTTATAATACATAATAAGTTGTTTCGTGGCGTTCAAATAATAAAAAAGCGGCTTGTGCCCCGAACGAATATTCTACCTCGGTATAAAATATTTTACTAGAGCTCATTGACTACGTGAAAAATCAAGTACCTTATTGGGAGTTACGACGAAAGTAAGAATTTTATACTCCTCATCCGAGCACGGATCGCGAATACCTTACCTTAATATGAAAATTATAACAAGGGACCGACAGTAGCTTGTTTCATTGCCCGATATTCGATTTTCTGAAGGTTTGAACACACAAATTCACACAATAAGTATATACACAAACTAGCTTCCACCCGCGGCCTGGCACGCGTCGTATGTTGATAACAAGTAGCAAATATCATCCGTCCAGCCGTTTTGGCGTGATTGAGTACAAAATATCCAAACATCGAAACTTTCGCATTTATAAGATTATTAAGATTGACTAAGAACTACGCCATAAAAATAAACACGAGGAGAAACAATGCAAAAGTTACGATTTATGAGGGACAAGTAACATCTGATCTCTGTGGAATTATTGATGGCCGCCTAAATAATATTTCGTAGACATTGGATCCGATAAAGGTAACACAAATGTACGAGAAAAGCATAAAACGAATGGCCTTATGATTCAGTCGTTGCCGGCGACAAATCCCCTCTATTTACTCAATTCGATCTTGAAATCGCTGGCTCACATCACAATACATTTCGGCGCGCAAACATGGCTGCCAGTGGATTCTGTTTGTCGTGTCAAATGGAACGTTTTAAATCCAATCGGTGGCACAAACGGTTTGCAGATTTACTCTGAAATTGTTTAAACGAGCTAGTCTCGCTTAGCTCCAAAACGGCAATACAATATAACAAGATGCATCGGAATAAGGACACCGATTTATGTTTATTCATAGCTGTGCTTGAGATATGCAAATGGAACTGAGATCTGTATTAATAAATGGAACGATATCAACATTGCTGGGGCATTCCTGTTGTGGTTGGATTTATTGTCTGCAAATACAATCCCATTCTCATACTCGAAATACGTAGAAAATAATGTTTGGATGCATTTTTCGTTCATTTAAAACATTTATTGAATGTGTGCTAAGTTCTAGAGGATAATCACTGTTAGTAGGTATGATATTTATCACATATATGTATATAATAGAATCGCAAAATGAGTTGGTAAGCGCATAAGTTAACAATGCCTGAACAAATTACGCCAATTCTTCTTTTTCGTCAGGAGAAGGTGCCTTAATTTTTTGCTTCGAAAAGTACTGCACCAAATTGTGAATTAGTGGCCATTCATCGAAATAGTTGGTCGCTCGAGCGGAGCTGGGGTTCTTATGTATCGTGGATGATCTCACCCCGACCCGTAATAACAATTAATAGATCACACAAAGAGTAATTTCGTGCGGGAATCGAAACCGCCACAAGTTGCGCGATAGCCAGTTGCCCAGCCACCGTGCCAACCGTGAATTAAAATTTCAAAACCAAATATTACTTATCCATAGATAATCTCAAGACGATTTATAGTCGCAAAAAATAGTAAAATACAACCGAATTCGGTAAGGACTCCAAAAAGATCTCAAGTTAAGAAAAGGCTACAACAAAATAAGGAAAGTATTCGCCATAACCTTAATGTTAATGTCACAAAACGTTTGATTGAAAGGCCCATTTTCTGCCAGATAATAATGAACGATGGTTATGGATCCTCGGTAGGAGAACGATGTCTATTATATTTTATGAATAAACCTAATGTAAGTACATAAGAAGGTACACTCACCGCTGCTCGAGTACATCGAAAAGGAATTCTATCCAATTGGATTTGATGGTAATATGTTTCATTCGATTTGTTTCAAAGAGGGGGCGTCCATGACTACAAAATAGGAAAATTCCAATTCCAATAATACAGATATTCTGTTGGTATTGGTATTTTAGGACTACTTCAAAGGATGGCTGTATGGGTCAATGACATCAGGACGGAAAGGGATTGTGGACGGGTTATTACATAAGTCGACTGGATAATAATCTGTGGAATGTTTTCGTGATTTAAATGTAAATTGAATAATCAACTATTATTGAGTTAGTTTGTACATCGTCAGGTTGAAATAAGCAGGTGGTATTGACTGAATTGTTCACTAAATGATAGTGCGTGTAGTTTATTAAAGTATTGAATTTGTACTTAGTATTCTGTACTAAGTTTGCACGTAACCAAAAACTACAAAAGCAACTTATAACAATACTGAACTGACTGTACGATTGGTGCGATGGCTGGGCAACTGTCTGCTATGCTGTATGCAACGAGTCGTGGTTTCGAACCCCGCACGGAACAACAGTGTGTGTGTGATCCAGAAATTATTGTTTCGGGTCTGGATGGCTTGTTTATTTGAATTTGTATTCGTTTGTAAACGCGCCCACGACAAAGAAGATATGGATTTTCTCTGACGCAGGGCAACGTTTTTTTTTCTTTTCAAAAATTGAACTACTATTTAACAAACTAGAACAGAATATGCGTTATCTCAGCATTAATAATATAAACACCTACTAAATCAGTCTCAAATAAAGATAGGATCGCGGTGAAATTATGGCGGGAGCGACACGGACCCATCGTCCATTACTAGACGCGCCTCCAAAGAGATCCTAATCACATTATTATTCTCGCGACATACGCTAGTTCGTTCGGGAACAGACTTACGTAAAACTGGACAATATTCTACTAAGAAAATAGCAATATTTATAAGATTTCTTATATTATTACAACATATCATAACTTTATGTGATTTACAGATATTTAATACGGTTGGTCTAGCATTTCAAGCGTGATTGCTTCACTAGTCCTTTGGACATTAAAGTCTAGATTTAATGACAGATAATTTGTAGACTTTTTTTAGTGTGATATAATGGCATACGAGCAGATAATTTACCTGATGGTAAGCAATCAGCGCCGCCTATGGATAACCACAATAACGGAGGAGTAACGTGTGAATTGTATCGACTTTTTGGGGATAAGGGATTTGGGGATTTAAGGATTGGGGGAGGGAAAGGATTGGGCCTCCGCTGTGGTTGTTTCATGCCGGTTTTCTGTGAGGCTGTAATATTTAAGTCAAGCCGACCCATTCATGCCCAAGCATCACTCTCCCACCCTTAAAACTATACAAAATTCATCTGCCTGTGGTATCCGCTGCAGCCAGGGTAAGAACCGTTTACCAGGCACTAAGACTACTCATAATATTTCTATTTGACTTACCGATATCAAGGGTGGCGACGGCATCTTTCATGAGCTGATAGGTGTCTCCATTTATCCTGAGGAAGTCAACGCAGCCTAGCAGGCCGTCAGACAGGCCCAGCTTGCTCTGTAGACCTGTAGTGTTGCCTGCACCTCCCACCCACACTGGTTCTCTGAAGGTCATCCGAGAAAACAGGCCCTGAAAACAATTTGATCATAAGCAAGGAGTGTAGGTTAATATGTGTAGAGAATTATGAATATTCAAGGTATCTGTTTTTGCCACTTTCATTTTTAAACCCCAACGCAAAAACGACGGGGTGTTATAAGTTTGACGTGTCTGTCTGTGTGTTTATGTGTCTGTCTGTGGCATCGTAGCTCTCAAACGGATGATCCGATTTCAATGTGGTTTTCTTTTGTTTCAAGGTATATCAGTCGAGAATGTTCTTAGCTATGTTTGGTGGTAATCGGTTCAGGTCTTCAAGGTCATCAGGTCGTTTGTTAGGTGCGATAAGAATGTTACACACTCAGTTTACTTGCAATTATTTTTTGCTTTTTAAAGGTTTTATCATTTTAAAATTTTTTCCATAATAATAGCGTACCTTTCTTTAAGTCAGGGACTTTAAAAAAAAAAAAAATATTGAAACAATATAACATGAAAGAAGAGGTGTCCTTTTTATATCAGCAAAGTTGTGGCCTAAGAGCATTCCCTGAACACCAATTCTAGACTAGACTCTACTAGGGGACTATTTATAATAATCTTCTTTTTATGTGATGGGACGGTAAACGAGCATTCAGATCACCTGATGGTGAGCAATCCGCGCCTATCATGGATAACTATGGGAAAGTTATGAGTGCATTGTCGGCCTTTTGAGAATTAGGGTTTTGGGGACTTAGGGATTGGGGGAAGGGAAGGCTTGGACCTTCTGAAACCTCACTCACACGGCGAAACAAAACGCTGTGGTTGCTTCACGTCTGTTTTCTGTAAGACCGTGGTATCACTCCGGTCGAGCCGAATCATACGTGGCGAAGCATGGCTCTCCCACACTTAAAATTGTTCAAGTGCCTAAAGTTAATTTGCGCTTTAATGAACATCATTAGACATAGGCGTGGCGGTGAGAGGGTTAGTGTGGGCGTCGACTCGTAACTTACTCCCGTATGTTATTCACACGTCTACGAAGGCTTTAGGAGTCATGGATTGGTTACATTATATCCATACTAATATTATAAAGAGGTAAAATTTGTAAGTTTGTAACTTTATTTAGGGGGTAATCTTTGGAAGCGCTGGTAAGATTTTTATTTTTTTTAATTTTTTAAAAAACGTTGCCTCGCAATAATAATTTCTCCTGTGTCGTGAGTGCAGTTACAAACATATAATTTCACATACACATCACCCCCAGACCCGGAATAGCCATTTGTGGAACACTCAAAGAGTTGTTTCGTGCGGGAATCGAACCCGCAACACGTTGCGCAGCAGCCAGTTGCCCAGCCATCGCGCCAACCGTGCAGTCATATTGCCAAAATTATTTCACTGGTAGATAGCTACAATGTTCCTGAGTGCTATCATAGGATACAAAATTTCGCACTACGATCAAATCGAGCCGAGCAGCGGGTAATACCGCGCGAGAGAAGCCAGTATTTGTAATTAGGTTTTTTCCTATGTAGTGCATAGGAAAAAACAGAGTCGTTTTCTCAGTCCCTATATCCCTACCTACCACCTATTACTCTTCAACTGTGTCTCGAATTACCAGGATTTAAAGGTTAAAGAGGAAGTTTTATATGTATAATAAATATTCATTAAATAGTACAGGAATTAAGAATTAGCATTGCACCCGAGCAAAGCCTATAAAGTAAAGTCTATAATTCTTAGAGTAGGTAAACTATAAAACACAGAAAATAAGTATGTAGTTGCATTCATTTTGAAATCTGAAGAAAATATAAATTCAAACGGGGTTTTTATTTTTATTGACTAGTTATAAACGGGTAGAGTTTTATCAGCTGAGAAAGTACCTCATCATCAGCCTGTAAGTGCCCACTGCTGAGCAAAGGCCTCTTCTCATACGGAGAAGGTTAGAGCATTGATCACCACGCTTGCTCAACGCGGACTGGCGATTTCAAACTTATAATTAGAAATTATAAGTCCAGGTTTCCTCACGAAGTTGACCTTCACCGTATGTCAGTGGTGTCTTAATAATCATAGAAAGTACATATAAGTCGGAAAAAGTCTCATTGGTACTTGCCACGTTTTGGCCTCATGCATGAGAAGCGGGCTCCTTAACCTCCGGGCCACCACGACATTTTTAGAGAAAGTACATAGCTAAGACATTTATAAAATATTTTTTTTTTATTTTACACCAAAAACGTCAACGTCATTGTCAAGTTTTACAAAACAGATAATAAAGACAGAGTTACGAAACCACAGATTCGTTCACGGCCAAATTGTTTTAATTAATTCCAGCCAAAGTTTTTAATTAATTCGAAATTTTAAGATTTACAACACCAAATTCTATTTCTTGATTGACCGACCATTATCTGGAGATCTTCTAATTGGAATATAGGGGTGGCAGTATTAATAGAAGTATTTTTATGTGATAGGTCGGCAAACCAGCAAACGGATTACCTGATGGTAAGCAATCAGCGCCGCTCAAAGGCACTCGCAACAACGGAGGAGCTACGAGTGCTTTGCCGACCTTTTTGGGATTCGGTGTTTGTTTTTTTTTATGTAATAGGTCGGCAAACGAGCAGACGGATTACCTGATGGGCAGCAATCATCGCCGCCCATGGACACTCGCAACGGAGGAGTTACGAGTGTGTTGCCGATCTTTTAAGGATTAGGGATTTGAAAATTTTTGGACTGGTCAGGGATTGGGGAAGGGGATGGATTGGGCCTCCGGTAACCTCACTCACACGGCGAAACACAACGCTGTGGTTGTTTCACGCCGGTTTTCTGTGAGGCCGTGGTATCATTCCGGTCGAGCTGACCCATTCGTGCCGAAGCTTGGCTCTCTCATATAACATATTAGGGATGCCAATGGATGACAACAATTCTTCTGAGACATTACCCACGAGAGTGTTGAGGCAATTATGTTAAACTGGGGAAACGGTACATTTAACGTGACACTACATATGACAAATAAGCGGGTAGAGAACACTTTGAAACAAATATCAACTCTAAACGTGTTAAATTTAAGTCAAAATCAGACTTCCTTACAGTACAATATATTATAGAAAAGGTTACAACATTATGAATTCAAACTAGACTTTGTGAATAGGCCTTAAGGTTTCATTCTTCTTGAACCACTAATCTTAGGATAAAGTAAAGTTTTGTTCAACAAAATTACAATTTAGTCTTAGGTTTCAAACGCTGTACAATGTTCAAAGCACGACCTTATCTGAAGTACTCCAAGCTCAATAGTTTCCGAGGTATCCACAACACTTCATAAATTCTAAAGGTAAATATTTAAGTAGTCAATTATTTCAGGTTCAAAGCCTTCGCAGATAATCTTGCCAGTGTAATAAGTATCTTTTGAGACCGTTTATAAAATCTGAGAATTTACAAGGCTTTTAAAATTCATAGCCGAAATTTTTTAAGGACGATATTATCCGGCGCGCGTTGGGAGGGTTCGGTCGACGTGCAAATGTAGCCTCGTTTGTTCCAACCCTTTAGACGGGAATGCTCTTAATGAGCCTGATCCGCTTTGCCGGAACGATTTCGGCGATGTAGATGTTTTTGTGCCTTATTTTACACCTCGTGTGGCAATTTATGTTTGAGATTAATGACGTACGCAGAGAAACGCGGTTTCGTTATCTGTAGGGAAATGTGTTCCGCGCGAATATTACGTCTACCTGGCCATTTGTCTTGTGTTCCAGAATGAAGCTGCGAATGCTCAAAATTTGTTGAATAATGAACTTACATTTTATGCAGAAGAATAATATATATATCTGATTTCATTAAAATATATTTTGTCGGTCGGTCGTCATTTGCTGCGTTTACATAAATGTTGCCGTCGTTCATATGTTGTCTTGTCTATACTAATATTATAAAGAGGTAAAATTTGTAAGTTTGTATGTAGGGGGTAATCTTTGGAACCGCTGGTCAGATTGTCAAAATTCTTTCACTGGTAGATAGCTACAACATTCCCGAGTGCTATATGCTATAAAACATCACGCTACGATCAAATGGAGCCGAGCAGCGGGTGAAACCGCGCGAGAGTAGCTAGTAAATTATAAACTGATTTTGACCAACTTCAGCATTTCGTCATTTATTTCTTTAATAATAATAAATAATAAATAAAATTTATTGAAGAACACATAATCTGGAATATACAGTTTTGCTTAAAGCTATACCAAGTTCATAATATTGGGTGCCTGAACTAGGACAACCTGTGTTTCAGGCGAAAATGGGTAAAAAGATATTATACATTGTTAAATAATCATAAGTACATAAGTGTTTTTAAATTAAGGAAATAATACTACTATTTATATTAAAAATAACAGGATAAAACGGTACTTAAATTCTATATCTATGTCTAATTAAATAAAAATTAAACCATAAATAAAAATAAAGACCTTTAATACAGTTATTTAGGAACTAATAATAACTTCTCTGTGTCTTCATAGGACATGTCTTGAAGTGCTTCGATGAGGATTTTTTTACAGGTATGGAGATTGTAGGAGTAAAAGGATAAAGTCGCATTCAGTTTGTTGTATAGGAAAGGTCCGAGGAATACAAAAAATTTTGTTATAAAAGTGTGTTTTGTACTTTTTGTTGGGCAAACGATATCTTTCCTTCTTCTAGTAATTAATTCGGGATTGTAGGGAAGTGTTGAGTGTTGTTTAAGTATAGTGCTCATTATAAATAACTGGCGAACTGTTAGTACATTACAAGATTTGTAAAGAAGATTAGTAGGGTAGAGGAAAGAGCGTCCAGTAGATACCTTGAGGACAGCTCTTTGAGCTCTTTCGGTAGATAACAATAGAGTCTTGTCTGTACCACCCCAAGAGGTGATACAGTAGGTCAATATTGATTGGCATAGGGCGAAGTAAACCTGTCTGATTATTTTCGGATCAGCAACATAGCGTAGCTTTTTGAAAATAAATATAAGCTTACGCAGTCTAGTATTTAATACATCCAGATGCCGTTTAAAAGAGAGAGTTTCGTCCAATATAATGCCGAGGTATTTAACATGAGTGGCCCGGTTA